CGGGACTATTACATAGGCCCATTGGCAACCTCTGGTATCGTCTTTCCCCAGGGAGTACGATAGTACAGAGTTGTTTCGAGTGAGGTAGACAGCTCGATGTGATAGTATCCATGTTAGGTCTAGATTAGTGGCGTACTTGAAACCGTCTAGGTTCAGAGCATGTCCTGTATTTTTGGGATAGGATAAGGTTTCCGCTTAATCCTTTTGTTTCAGTTCCGGAAATCAGAGATGAATTTGTACGATCCATCTTTTTTGGGAATGATAAAGTTGGTGCCGCCCATTCGGAACGGTTACCTTCTTGAGTACTCCTGCTTCACAGAGACGTTCAACCTCCATCTTAAGAGTGTTGGTATGGACCACGTGGAATAGGATAAGCCCTAGCGTGATAGGTTTTAGCGTCAGGGAGGAGTTCTACTTCGTAGTCGTCCATCTGCCACTTTCCTCAAGTACCATCGAATAGGTCAGAGTACTTCGTTAATAAGGATGGAGCTTGTTCCTGCTCTTCCTTATTCAACTGTTTTTGACTTTGGCAAACCTGCTTTAAGTCAGCTTGTTCGTATTTCCATCAAGAATCTTCTTGAGAACGATCTGCACTGTCATCAACGCAGTAGGATCAGGAATGAAGAATCTCTCTCTTCATTGGTGTCGCTATCTTTCATAGGAATAGATATGCCGTCCCACTCCACTGACATGGTGGTGAAATCGAACTTAAATCCTAAGTCGGAGAGAAGTCTCGACCATATCATGTCATACGCCCCAAGCTCTTGGTGACGTGTAAATCTCATTCGATAATTCTATCACGTGGAATCAGAATCAGAAATGCACCTTTGCACTTCGTACTGGTGTTTAAATCTCCTGCAGGGGTAGTCCACATGGTTTGGACGCCCCCAAGATCTTCATGCGTAATTTCTTAGCATGATTTTGAGCAATCAAGGTTCCGGATGCTCCTGTAAAGTAAGCAACGGAGTGTAACGGGTTTTGGTTTCCTTTTTCTCGCTTGTTAAATCTAAATAGACGATAGTTTGAGGTTTCTTGTCTGGCGACGTTTACGAGGTGGTTGGCCACGGACGAGGTTAACAATGCTAATAGATCATCAGAGTCTAGTTGAGCAGCTTTTAGCAATCATCTAATTTGCCGTAGAGTTCATCGTTGCAAAAAATTCTTGTTTACTAGTTGTAGTGAGATATCTTCATACTTTGGTATGAGAAATCGGAACATGGTTCCGTTGAGTATCATCCTGGCCTAATCCTCAGATAGAGTTTTCTCCATCCAAGTGATTGAAATCGATAGAGGAGTTGTCCTCGTTATCAGAGTCTTTCTGATTTGCGTTGGCAAATGGTTGCGAAGTTTGCAAGGTGGTTGCACGAGTACGTCGATCTCGGTGTCTTCGTCATTGTCGACGGGAGAAATGGGTTTGTCAACGCAACTGGTTCTCGAAGTTGCTGAACGCATGCTTTCCTTGAGCCATCTTCATGGTGAAGGAATAGGTTGAGGGAGCTGAAAGCTATTGTGTTTGTTACAAATGCACTACGCTAAAAGCTAGTGTAAAGATCTTTCGAGTGTTTTGAGTTTGAGAGAATGAAAGTTATGAGAGAGATTAGAAAGCTATGAAAACTAATCAACGAGAGAGATCATCATCAAGGGATCGTAGATCTGGTCTCCGCGGGAGACTATAAAGTGTGATAGAGTAGGTTGCGGTGTAATCCTACGTTCTCCCAGATCCTAAAACGGAACGCGTGGAAGATTGTCTAGCATGGATCTAGTGCGTGGAAGTACTCACGCTGGCTAAATATCTAGAGCGATGTTTCATCATCAACCTAGTATGACTAGAGCGTCATTGAGAACCTGTCTCAAATGACTATTCACGAGAGACTCAGTCATGAGTCGAACTCAAACCCTATCTAGGATCGAGTCGCGAATAAGGCTAAGAGCCGTGTATTGCACCTGCTCAGAGATATTATCCCATGCCTCTTGATCCGACTTGGATAACGACCGCCATGTGGTTGCGTTCATCATGACCTTGCGCGGACCACGAGTGTCTGTCTGATGGGCTTGCAATAGGACCTCCACTGGTGTATCCATATCGTGGACGAACACCTCATAGGTGTTGTCACAGGTTTCCGCTGTACCATCATCGAAGAGAATTTCGTGTTGGTAGGTGCGACGACGAGCGTTGCTTCGAGAGCGTGTGGACGGTGCATGATTTGCACTGTCATGCAGTTGTGCTTGCTTGAGAAGGGCTGCTCGGTATTGCTCGAGCGTATACTGGGAGGTGTCTCCTGCAGCTTTCTTGGTTTGCAGTGCGAGACGTCGTACAGGAGCAAGATTTGGTGCCTTGGAGATTGAGCGTTCCAAGAAACGTGCCCCATGCTGGTCAGCGTATGGCTCATCGCTGATCTCATTGTACTGCCGAAATTGTTCGAGGAAGTTGGAGATGAAACCAGCTTGGGACCCTCTCCATACACCTTCTGCGATATCGGCGGAGGTGAGATAACACGAAATCTTATCCGAGCGCAGGGTTGCGACCATGGACTTGGAGTAATATTCGTCAATTGCCTTCCAAATCGCACGAGTGTCCTTGTCGGTTTCATTGGCAAGGACGACAGATCGTGCCTGTGCTTCTTGGAAGATGTCTTCGAAGATCTTGTACATCCATTCTCGTTGTTTCTCGTCTAGTTCGACGTTGGTGACCGTGAAGTCAGAATCAATGAGGTGGGAGAGACCTTGAGATTTGAGCGTGTTGAGGAAGTTCTTCCTCCATTTGATGAAGACTGATTCGCCGTGAAACTCTCTGAACTCCGAGCGGACGGGCTTGTTGTTCTTGTCCCAAAGTGCAATTGCACGCTCCCCATCGGTCATCGTGGCATCGCTGCGTCTCATTTGTTGCCATGGGACAATTTCGCCGTGTGGCTGGAAGAGTCCAACTCTGAAAGCGTTGAGCGCGGTGGCCGTCAGTGATACGATGCGGACGGGTGCTTTCTTCTTGAACGCCCAATGGTGATACATCTGTATCGCCGTGAGCAGTAGCTTCTTCCTGGTGAGAGGTACTGGTCTTGGAGCACCGTTGGTGTCGTTGGAAGCTTGGAGATCCATAACTTCATCTTTGGTGAGAAGTAGGAGATCCACCCATCCGTCGATTCCTTGTTCAGACAGTGCGATGCGCATGTGAGATGCAGTGTACCCTGTGAGGGAAGCGTCTTCGCCGCATAGGTTGCATAGGACGTGCTTGAGCCTGGCTGGTTCATCGGCCATCTTGATGGAGGTGTGGCAGTGCGTAACTGCGACTAGTTAATCTGCTAACATGAGGAAATACTACTTGAATAGAGGGATCTTGTAGAGGTAGCTACCACCCAACGAGATCAACTGCAACTATTCAAGACGAGTGCAAAGTAAATGCAAAGTTCGCTTCTTAGTAATTCATAATCTGTGTTGTGAGCTTTGATTAATGCGATCAGTAAAGCTAGTTCGTAGCGTGTTAGATCAATGCATCGTGGTAGTTGATCTTGATTCATACGGAAGTCAACGTGGTATCTGCGGGAAACGGTTCGTTGGCAGGATGCTTTACTCCTGTCGAATACTCCAGTTTACCGTGTCCTTTGGTTTCGTTGAGAACGTGTTCTTGCCAGCGTTCTCTGTTCCATCGCGTTGACTCATAAAGCATGACTCAATCTACTCATGGATACTCTGAGTCGTGGGAGGAACTGTAACGCTTTCAGCCGAGGAGGAGAGTCGAAGCACCAGTTGGTGTCGCTCAAGGAGGGGAGTCGAAGCACCAGTTGGTGTCGCTCAAGGAGGGGAGTCAAAGCACCAGTTGGTGTCGCTCAAGATGCCAGTTGGCGGAGCTAGAGAAGCACCAGTTGGTGACGACTCATCATGGCAGTGGGGCTAGAGAAACACCAGTCGGTGAACTCATCATGGCAGTGTGGCTAGCAAAAAGCATCATGGCCGGATCGATCGGTCATCGTGAAAAGCACAACAAAAAGACCGATCATTCGAACGAACGATCGCTCGCTGCTCCAGTCGGAGCACACCACCGTAACCGGCTAGTAGTAGCCGTAGTAGCTAGCTAGTAGTCACAGTAGTAGCGGCGCCGTATAGCCATTGCTGGTCGCCGTTCGAAAAGAAAAAAAGGACGCCATTGTCCTCTTCGATTGGTGGCTACTAGCAATGTGGCTGGATTGCCTGACCGACTGACTGACTGATCCCTGATAACCCTAACTCTATCTACGGTGACGTACCAGTCCAGGCAGGAGCAAGTGTGCTTCCACATTGCTCTGCTTAGAGTCATGGCGATAGCTGCTCATTCTCATCAGAGAGGAGTTATCACCTTTTTCAAAATTCTCAACTTTATCAGGGGAGTACAGTGTAGCGTGGTATGACTGTAGTCTAAGAAACTCTTCTTGAATTGATATTGCATTCCTTGAATGCAGGATCGCTGAAGCTTTTAAATGGTACTGGTATAGTGTGGTGCGGTGAAGTACGGTACTGTATTGTGCACTACCGGTATGGCACAGTGTTGTGCCATACGGTGCCGTACGGTGCCGTACACAAAATTGTCAGCAAAACTTTTCTGCAAAAAGTCTAAAAGACTGTCCACTGATAATTCACAAGTAATACTATAGAGTACTGAAAGTGTTCGGGAGAAGTGTTGGGGAGCAGTGTTCGGCAGAAGTGTTCCCAAATTTGCAGAGGAATGTGATTTTCAGCTTGCCTTTTGAAAGCGCGGTGCGGGGTACAGTACGGTGTGGTGCGAACAAAAATATTCAACAAAAAGTGTCTGCAAAAATCCTAAAAGACTGTCCACTGATAATTCAGAACTACTACTTTTGAGGCCTAAAAGTGTTCGGGAGAACTGTTTGAGAGCAGTTTTCGAGAGCACTATTCAGGACAAGTGTTCCCAATTTGCAGAGGAACGCGATTTTCAGCTTGCCTGTTGATTTCATACCGTATACTTCGTACTGTATGCGATAGACTCTAGTACTAGTACACTTATTTACTTTTAGCAAGAAAGAATTCGCTGCATTGAGTTGGACCCAAATTTGGGGTTAAAGTAGAAAACATTAGGGCTAATATTCTGCAAGTTCTCGAGCCAACCATTTTCTGAAACTTTTAGTAAGAGGTAGGCAGCGGTGGACAAAACCCGCAAATAGCGCTTCTGGTGGATCGACTTCTCTCATTCGAGGACCCTGCGACAAGGAACACATCGTAGTGTGAGAGTCAAGTAACTTGTGTAAAAGGGAATCAAACGTTCAAGATGGCTGATGAAGAAGAAGCACCTGCCGAGGCCGTTGCCGTCGAGGAAGTACAGATGAGTGTGTTGGACGCGCTCAAAGAGGTACGTTGTAGATCTCACGATGTCTGCTGTGCTCTCGTTGGTTGGACAATCGAAATTGACTTTGTCCCGCATATTCTCGATACAGGTACTCAAGAAGGCTAGGATTCATGGTGGATTGAAGAAAGGATTACATGAATGTGCCAAAGCCCTTGACAGGCGCTCGGCTCGTCTTTGCTGCTTGGCCAAGGACTGCGAAAACGAAGAGTACAAGAAGCTTATTCGAGCTCTCTGTGCTGAAGGCGAAGTCCATGTTCTGATGGTTGAATCAGGAAAGGAACTTGGTGCCTGGTGTGGTCTAGCCAAATTGGAAGACGATGGCAGTGTCAAAAAAGCTGTTCGCACTTCTTGTGCTGTCATCACTGACTTTGGGGAAGAGACAAGGGCTCTCTCTATTCTGCTTGACTACCTACAGAAGCAAGCGTCCGAGGCTGAGCTATAGTCGCATGTAGAGTTGCTTGTTAGGCTGAACTACAGTAGTAGAATTTACGCCAAAAAAGTCTCTTGTAGCTGAGTCGCCCTTGCTTTTTAGCTGAAAATGGTTTGGACTAGCTAGATAATACGGTAGACTACGACGTGAAGTACTGTGAACGATCATACAAACTAAACTGTTCTGGGAGTTTATCTTCGTGTGGTGTGCACTGGTTCCATGCAAGAGAACGCAATACATGCCGAGAGAAATGCAGCCGTGAGGCTACTCCGTAGTCGCTTGTCTCAGGTGGCTGTATGTGTTTGTTGGAAGGCTCGCATTAATTGCCACGGGACAGTCAATTGACAACTCTCTTTTCGAGGAAAGAGTCTATAAAAGTTTTGCGTGGTTCCAGGGAAGAGTACCAGGCGAGAAAGAATGCTATACAAAATCTGTTTCATAATAGTCACAACCTTGGCGGAAGTATAGACCGGTATTCAGTGTTGGCTGGCTACATGTAGTTAGTGCTGATGGTAGCGTTGTTGCAAATGCGCCTGTTCAATCAGGGCTCGATTCTGCTGTACCAAATAGTGGCAATCAGCCTCCGACAATCGACTAGTAGGTGTCTCAGAGCTTGTCCCGCGTCGCCCTCGCTTTCGGTCTGACCCCTCTCCAGAATGGCGACCGTGACCTTCATCCCATGAATCCAACTCAGGGAGCCCGTGCTCTCCAAACACTTCTTCCCCAGAACCACGTTTACATGTACCTGGTTCTTTCAGTTGAGGATCAGAGCTGACAGAGGACATGGAAGAAGAACGTCCCACTATTGGTTCAACCGCCTCCCCGCTTCTTGGTGGAAGAGGCGAAAACTTGTGAACTCGGTAGAAGTCAGGTGGGTTTTCATGCCGTGTATCTGGATCGTTCTTTTGAGGTCGCTTCATTCTCATGCACAAATCCGGCAATCCACGGAGGAAGAGTTCATGCCAGTAGGCGTTGAAATCGGGACCTGGAGTAGTAATCCGCTGGAAATTCCACCCGTTGACCCTGCAATAATTTGACAGAAGAGCAACCACTGAGTGACAGTCGATAATTCACGATGCCACCATCGTCACAGGGCTCTCAAGAAACCAAACTTACTGTCGCATAAAGGAGGCGTACTAAAAGCGTAAAGGTTTTGTGGATAGCGTGCACAGCAAACATCGTAGGTGATATGAGAATGGGAGACAAAAGAGAAGCGGGCACGAAAAGATGCTCCAGAGAATGCTGGTATTCTGAAAGCTTACCTTGGAGCTACGAAAGAACTTTGGGATAATTTTCTCTTCAAACTCTTTGGGCTTGAGAACTCTCCAAGCCCGTCCGTGAGGGAGCCATGAAATTATTGTCTGATACTCTGGGGACGAAAGTATCTGATGAAGTTTGGAGGGAAAGGCCAAGACCCTGTCCTTGGAAGGGTACGCGCTGGCAACAGGACTTACATTCTTCGACCCAAAGGTGATCGACGAGTGATCATCATGTGAACCCCCACTTGCAACAATGATGGAAGCTTGTTTGGGTCGGAAAATCGACGTTTTCTGGTTGTGGTTGGAAGGAACCCGCAAAGGATGTCCAGGATGTCTACTGCGGAGCGATGGGCCTCCTCTTGGGGGAGAAAAGCTGGCATAAAGCTCCGACGGCGTCTCATCGTTCTCGTGTAATTCTGATGGTGGCGAGATACTGTGTTGCAACGGCCGCGTTGTTCGGACTGGGGAGAATCCACCTGGAAAGACACTTCGGGATCCTGGCGCACCTCCATAGACTTGGTACACCACGGGTTGCTGTCGGCTGCTTCCATGACGGCCTTGAGACGGCGTCACAAGTTTAATGGGAGGCGAAGGAGGAGGTTCGTCATTGTCATCCGCTTTCTTCATGGCAGTTTCTTCGTTTCAATAGTCCCCAATATCAATCAATTGCGGCTGCCCTTTCAGTTGTCCCTGTGGACTTTGATTTGTGATTAAGAGGGTGCCAAGCTACCGGTTTATCAGCAGCCCAAAGCCAAACGAAACCCTCAATCATTGCCCAGAAAAATGAAGCCGTTCTAACCCAATGCAGTGGAAAGGTTGGATGTTGATCCGAGAATGTGACCAAAACCGTTACTTCCTATCCGATTATGCAAAAGCGTTATATTTCGCAACGAGGGTTCAGGCTTTTCGGGAAGCCCTGCTCCGCGAATGCTCCTCCTTTCGGTGGTACATGTACCGGTACCAGGTACCGGTACGTGGTACATGTACCAGTACGGGTACATGTATGTAGCTCCGTAACGATACCGGTACCTCACCGAAGCTGAAGTGCACCCCATGCTTCTGGACAATGATATGCCTCTGTTTGGCAGCTTCAAAAAGACTCTACCATGTCAACTTCGAAGTTGCTGCCAAGGATTGCCATCTCTGCAAGAAGCAGAAATCCCTGTGGTCCCTCCTTGGCAAGCCCCGTGTTTCGCACTGACGTTCTTCGGCAATGCAAATTATTGTCGTCTTGTCGTACCCGATCATGCGGTTGTTGGATTGCCCAGTCTCTCACCAGTAAGTGAAGGCAAACGAATAGTGGCGTGCAATTCAGTGAGAATAATGGTTTCGTTGCTAATTTTCATCATGATGAACAGAGACGATGGAGTCGAGTCAGGGTCCTTGACGACTGGAATCTAAAGGAAGGGGACACATTTCCTGCTGGAGATTGTCATGTTCAGTGTGGAGACTGAAAAGGCCACAGTTGACTTTGAAGCACAAGATGATGGTGTCATAGCCAAAACTTTAGTGGAATCAGGCCCTGGTGAAGTCCAATGTAGGCAGCCGATCCTTGTCACCGTCGAAGAAGGTGAAGACATTTCTCCATTGCAGACTTCAAGGTAGGGGATAGATGATGCTGGAGGCGCTACCAGTGATGCGACTCCTCCCCCTGCATCTGAACCTGCAACTGCAACTGAAGCAACCGCTTCAACCACTCCTCCGGCTGCTGCTGTGCCTGCTGTTGCGACCAAAGCTGATGGACGTGATGTTGCGTCCCAGTTGGCAAATATGCTTCCAAAAAACTGAGTTGTAACATTGCATCCATTCCTGGAACTGGGCCCGGAGGTAGGATTATAGAAGCAGATATCAAGGAGTGCATCCCAGGGGAAGAGTCTGTGGTGCCTATCGGAACAGGACAAACACAACCAATTCCAGATCCGGAGGCTGCTTCAACAGCCATACTTGCAGCAGCACCAATTCACGGTGAAAGCTACACTGATTTCCACATTTCAGATGCAACAACAGTCACTGCTGGACGTTTGGCTCAATCCAAGCGCAATGTTCCACATTATTATTTGACTGTGGACATTACAATCCTGGAGGCACCCCAAACATTGAATGCTACCAGGTACCCTTGGTGAAGACAAGCCAATGCTTGGAGTTTACGAATTCTGGCTCAAGGCAGCTGCATGCTCGTTGAATGCTGTGCCATCTGCAAATGCATGTCTGGTGGGCAGTGTAGTAGTCCGCGTGTATGACTCGGTTGACATTACATGTAATGTCGTATGGTACGTGGTCAGGGTGATTCCTTGCGTACCGGTACCCCAGTGGTTCGAGAAAGGGATTGCTCAATGCAACTCTGGATCAAACGATGATGGGTACATGTAATTAGATCTTCCATTGTCTTCAACAGAAGCTGGAACTTTGAGTGTGGTCAATGTTGGAATGTTGGGAATGAGTCGAGTCAAATGATGTGCACCAATTATTTGAGAGCCCCAGGCATGTGCACTAACTCTTGGCGACAAGGAGAGCGAAGAAACTTCAAAGAGAGTGCGATAATGACGGCAACCCTCAGCTGTGGTCATGGAGTTGTTGACGCTTGCTGCATTCAAATCGTATGTGGAGAGCCCATCGAATCAGTTGCTGTAGCCCAAGTTTTGGATGTCAATCTAGAATATGCTGTAAATAACTATCAGGTGAATCGAATCTTCTCTGAACTGATTTCTACGTTTACTGGCAACTTTGTGACAATCTGATCATGGGACAACGATGAAGCTGTGTGACGAATCCAACTTCATGAAGTCTCTGAGAGCAGTCCTCGCGAGCCTGATAATATCATCGTTTCCAATGGCATCTTCATCGTCGCAGCGATCTCTGGCACTGTTCAAAGTATCAGTTAGCAAGGAATACAGAGAGCCGCACGCATTGCTCCCTTGGACATCGAAACTCTCGCTCAGGTAATGGGGAATCATATCTCTCAGGAACTCTAAGTCGACAAGCAATCCGATGTAGGCACCAGGTGTGAACGAATAGTGCCGAGTCTCCTCGGCAATCGCCTTGATCATAACACGAAAAAATAATGCCAAAACGGAATCTCTCGATGAATCAAGTTCTTCGCTGGGATGAGGGTAAACTTCAATCTTTTCCTGAAACATGCGTTCAACATCGAGTTGCAAACCCTTTATCGGTGAAGTATTCCTTCCAAGGAGTGGCTGTGAGACCGGAGTAACATTGGTAAAGTCTGGGAGGGGTCCAGCGCGCTGTGTTTCGCCAAACAAGTTGGAACATTCGATGGATGTCTTCTTCGCAATTTCAAGGGCACGACAGACCCCAGCGTTTGGTCGGTCAGGGAATGGCTCGGGGTCTGCAGAGGTATTGGCACGCAACGCCAAACAAACTTGTTGGGCAGCATCAAATCCTTGATTGCTGCAATAGAGTACAAGTATACGAGACCCAGCAAGTCGAAATCTATCTGATGCAGCCCGCTCGTGCTGGGTGAGTACAACATTCTTCTTGTGATCGTCAATCGGGAAAAGACCGCTCGCCCTTCCCTTCTTTCCACCTCCCACATTCGTATCCATTGAAAGTTTGATGGTGTCAACGAAAACACGCTCACAGTTCCTGCACATTTCCCACAGCAGCAACGCCAGCTCAAAGTGGTTCAAATAGGGACTTTTCGCGTCAAGGTCCGCAACCAAATCCTGTAGGGCGGCATCAACTTTTGAGGCCAGCGCATCATACTGAGTGGACAATTCTGTCACGTCTTCCTTTCCCACCGCGTTAAGCCGAGCTGACAAATCGCCGCCCGATCTCTCTGCCATGTTGCCTTCGTCAGGAGCCAGGCTCGTAGCACATGCTTCGAATGAGAAATACCAATCGCTGGAGTCACAACCAGCCAATACTTCGAAACTGCCAGCAAGCCACGAAGCAAACCTCGAAGTACTCGCCTGGATCGATTGCTTCAACGCTGGGAGATCAACCGAAGCTCCGAGGTCTTCTCTACCAGAAAAAACGCTCCGAACTGTATCGTCAAGCAGCTGCATGGAATCCGATACTGCAATTGCACAAATCTGTGCCTTCTGGTCTTCACCCGCTCCCGTAATTCTCTCCACGAAAGGAGCAAGACAATCTTTGAGAACTCTGAGTTGAAGCTCATGGAACATTCGATCGACCCGTGCATTGGTAACAGATCCCGCTAAATCTTGTGCTTGCTCCACCAAACCTGCAGCGATATCAGAACTCACTCCGACCTCCGGCAGTGACAAAGCAGATGCCAGTTCTCTCACTGCAAGTAGCAGTGTCGACATGGCCCCTGCAATATCTCCGTATGTTTCGCCGCTTTCTCCTTCCTGATCACCTTCCCGAGACTCCAAGGAGCTCTGCTGCACCCCCAAGCTGTGTTCGAGCAAGATAGACTTCACATGGGAGAGGAAAGATGTGTACGCTTCATCAACGAACTCTCCTAGACGATCAGGCTCGCCCGTATGGCCTTGCTCACGAGTGTCGTCTCTGAAACTCATACGGAATAAAGCAGCTGTCTGGAGAATTCCATCCAAAACGAGCGTAGGAATAGGGTGGACTGTTGGACGGAGATCACTTTCGAAGTCGCCAGGACTATCATCGACAGATCTGGGTAACGCAGATGCATTCATCGCGGCTTCCTGAATTTCGAGCTGGTGCAAATCAAGGAGTCTCTCGAGGAAACGAGAGCTCGCTGTAATGGACATCTCTTGGCACTCTGAGGAGGTCAAGCCGGGATCAACATCGCTGCGCCCTTTCTCTTTCATAAGAAGGGCAAGTGTACCGGAACACTCGAAGATTTCTTGTATACTCTTTGGTGGTTCTTGAAAACCTTCGCTGTCAAGACTATCAAAGCTCTCCGAATTTTGGGATTCCAAGTTGTCGTCGTTGTCCTCTGATGTTGATTCCAACATGGCAATTGAGTGGTCTTGACCGCTCCAATGCCTCAATTTTCGCTTCATATTTTTGACCATTTCGAAGAGAATGGCACTGCACTCCGTTTCAATTTTCTGCAAGCTCTCAAATCCTTCAGAGTGCATCCTTAGAATATTGGTGGATCTACAAAAAGACCTCGCTGCTTCTCGGAAGCGACCATCTTTGATTTGTTCTCGCAGGGTTTCTGGAAGCTTGAGCAATGCATCTAGACGTGTCAAAAGACGCTTCACGCGGATTTTCTCTGCGACGGCATCACGCAAAGAACCAAGGTCCTCTTCTACCGCTTGCGATGTGCTGGAAATCATGTCCATGCCCTTGGAAAGTCGTTCCAGGCCTTCTTTGTTTGCTTGAACGGACACTCCGACACTCTTTACTGCGTCTGTGGCAATGATAAATTTGCTATAGTTCTCGTACACCATATTTTGTGTGGTCGAATCAAGCGTACGGACTTGCAGAGTGAGCTGCTCGTCCAACTCCAGGAGTTCATGGACGGATGAGCCAATGATATGACTGCTTGTATGACTTTCCACGTCAAAATACGGCGAATCCAAGTCTTTGGTATCGGCTGAGTTATTGACGCTAGCATGTCCCAATCCTCGAGATCCTTGAACCTGACCCAGCTTCTTTGTGTCGGCCAATGATGTCCTGCTTCGTTGACCAGCACTGTCCGAATCTGCTGATTGGCCATAGAAGCTCTCCAGCAGCTTCTTGCGAACCAATGCTTCCCGGTCCACGTTGCCGCTGTTTTTGTTACCAACTGTCAAGAACTCATCGTCAGAATCGGAGGAAGATCCGTCGTCCATGGTGCCAAGGCTGCCGATGATCGTTTCGATGGTCTGGTAGACTGCTATCGGTACATATATTGATGGTGATGCGCTGTGCTCTTTGGGATCTCGCGATCTCTTTCGCGTATGACATACCGTACCTTTGGTAAAGTCATACGATTTTAGCAAAAAGTGACTGAACTAATAAGTAAGTTTACTCACAAACTGCCGAATCGCTAAAACACAGGCTTTACTCTGTGGTAACTTTTCGGTTGTTTGACTTTTTCATCCCCCTTGGGAATCATCAGTGCTTGGGCTATTGTGGTACTTATGAAATCGAGGTTTATGTCGGCATGCTCCGTATATTTCGTTGCAGGAGTTGATCAGCTTTTCTGGTGATTCTCTGGATCGTTTCAATATCTCGAGTCGCTCCCTGTTGCATACTAGTAGGCTGCAGTGTCGTGTCCCGAAGGTCTTGACAGTGCTGATGGGGTTGCCTTGCCATAGGATGCTAATTTCGATGCTTTTCCTTTGAATGTCACCGTTAAGTCGGAATGGTGAAGGAGGTGCGAAGTTTTGGAATTCGTTGCGAAGTGTCTTGCATATGAATCTGACTTGCGTTTTCCGTAGAGGAGACGCATGACGTCGGTGAAGTGTTGGTATGTTCGTTCTTTGACGTTTCGTTGGGTTGCTCCAACATATTCTTTGCCCGAGTTAATGCATTTGATGCAGTATATGGCCAGTTTATTCTACAGCGGTCATCAAATCGGCATTGACCGTCTTTCTTATTTCCTGGTTTGCAGTTGCAAGTTTCATTTTGGAACTCGGTGGAGATGACGTCTTTGGTGAGCTTCCTCGATAGGTCGCCCATGAACATCTCTCGCAGGTTGGTGAATCGATGGTATGACATAGACGTTCTAATCCATTCGAGGCCGTAGCTCTTCTTGAGGTCGCTGATTACCTTGTGTATTGGGGTTGTCCAGGCGTTGGGGTGTCCTATACAGAAGAATAATGATCGGTTCCGGTTCCTCTTTCGTTGCTTGGCATCTCTATCTGGTTCGTTTGCTTTGTCCTCTTGTCGCTAGGAGTACCGTTGTATTTCTTCTTGTAGTGTTGGTACTATCTGGTCTGAAATCAGTCCAGCTTTCTTCAGCGCCTCGAAGTGTAGTGGGTAAATCTCATCGAGTGTTTGGTTGGCATTCTTGTTGGTAACTATAGTGAGTTTAGCAAGTCTTTGGAACACCCCTAGTGGGATGTTTTTGAGGCATGCGTTTGTGTGGGTAGTCCCCATGTTTAGATATTTCAGTTGTTGGTTCGGTTTAAGGTGGACTCGGAAGTGAAGTTCTAAATTGTGTCATGTAGAAAAAATATTCAAAATTTTTCATTTTCGATGTTTAAATCAATTAATTAGAAAAAAGGTAAAAAACTCAAAATTGATTTGCCCCACCATATTTCCGGTAGTTATACCCTACTTAGCTACCCACCTAGCAATATGGGTGTTCTAGAAATCCTATTATCTTCAAGTTAATAGACATATTTGAATTCTCCAAAAAGAGTAGAGATCATTCCCAACAAAAAAAATTGAAAAAGGTTGAGTTATGGCTGAGATATGGGCCTTTAGATTTGTGTCGAGCAGCAGCACGCCTGGGGAACCCCCGTCCGAGTTTCCACGCCCCGCAGCGTGGAAACTTGAACCCTGACTGACCCTAATCATGGTTGCCGAGAGGACCATCTCACAATTTGCAAAATTAATTCCCACGCTCCTCACCTACAACTCAAGTACATCTCTACATCTCGCAGGTCATCACCTGCGTTCCGGAAATGGATACCCCACATGATGATGCACCGCATCAGCTCCTCAATGCCTCTCGAACAAGATTACCCTTAAGGCAACGACGCCCATCCAAGACCACATTTGGCAAGATCAACAGCGGCAACCATGAATCACTAAAGCCAGCGACCTAGCCAAGACCAGCCATTGAACTGCCGATCGCAAGAAGGTTGTCTCTCTCTCAGCTCACAATTCTTCATTCAGCTGACGCTGAAAGCAAGAACCTAGATTAGATTAATCTCTTGCGCCGGCATCAGGTTTCGTATCTTTTTGACCCTCACCATGGCCAGCTCTAATTTTCGGATCTCGTCTCTCGTGCAGCAGCATGGGAAGTACATGCTCCTAACTACGCTGATATCCTCACTGCTGTGGGTGGCGCCTCGAACACAAATCGTGATGTTGCCTCTCGCGCCATGAGCCAATTTGCCTTCGTTCACCTGTTACCTTTGGCTTCGTCCTCCAAAATGATGAAACGAATATCTACATTGGACACTCACTCTACGCTTACCCCATGAATCCGAGTCAAGCCTCTCCTTATGACAATCTCTATGCTATTGTGGTAGGGAACGATCTTCGAAGCGCAATCACAGTGGTCCTCCCCATGTCTGCCTTCGAGCACACGGCTGACATCGCTTGCCACAAAATGACAATTATTGACGGAGGAACCATATTCACTGCCGTCCCTGCTCCTGTACTCCACAGTGGTCCCCACGGCGGTGGTGAAGTCCCCGACACCGATGTCTTCCGTGTCCGTCGCGTCATGCCTCTTCCGTCTTATCTTTCTGAAGCTGTCCTCGCGGCCCGTCCCGAGGGACAGTACAGTCTTCCCCAGTTCCGCGTGGAAGTCCTCACCCCTGAGATGACTCACGTTGACGCAGCGCGACAAGCTGCCATCGCCCCTTTGGTCCAATGGTTCCGCGCCTGTTGCATGCTGGTCGCAGGAGGTCATACTTTTAACAGCAATGAAGCAGCCAATGTGGCCGCGCCCATTAGCGCTAACGCGCTCCAACGAAGTACCAACCGGGTGCTCTCCCCCTACCTTGCCGCGCTTGGCACGGTGGGTCCGGGCCTGACCAATGCGACCTTCAATGTCGGAATCACGAACCTACGTGACATGCTGAAGGCTACTGTCGAACAACAACTCCAGTATGACCGTGAGAAGAGCAACAAGACCTTCACGGATAAATTCGGGGCTGCCCTAGCCACTCGCATCCACAACCTCTGTAATGTGGCCGATGACGCAAACCTTCCCGTCATTCACCGTCTGCTCGTGAAGTCCCCTAAGGGGAATGAACACGGAATCCTGCAAGCTCAACTAGACGAACGCACTCAGGCATCGGTGCTACCCATCAACCTTGCCAACAAACCCCTGGTCAATGGACACATTCTGGATCGTGTCTTCCGCAAGTACTTCGTGAACGGTCAAGGGACCACCTTGGGCGAAGGCCTCTCCCCCTTTTCAGTAGTGTGCCAAGGCCATTCGGAAGCTAAGGCAGTCCAGGACCTAGCCACCCGAGCGGAATATGTTGAGAAGGGAGCCTCCGTCACCTTGGAAGATGACATCGCCATCACTTCCACCGATGTCAAGTTTCCCACCGATGCTCGCAGTGCTGAAGAGAAACTCTACGGCTTCTCCCCCATGATAGACGTCTTCCATGGAGGAAACCATCCAGTTTCGTGCTCCGTGCGAGATGTGGCCCTCTCGTTGGGATCCTACCTCCACTCCATCCATGGCATACACGCTGACAACCGAAGTGTGGCGGTGGACTTGTGCGGTCACATCCTATTTGAGGTCCAACAAGATTACTTCCTGTGGGTCAACGAAGCTATCCTGAATCCAGGCGCTGCTGCCCCCAACTTTGGAGCACTCACTAGACTTGTTCAGTCCTCCCGTGCCTCATCTCTCGCTGAGCTCCCTGCTCACTGGTACTCGTTCTTCAAGCCCGCTCCCGAACCGCCTAGCAAGAAGCCTGCCGGAGCAAACCAACAGCGAGCGGGAGCGCACCCCGTCACCAATGTCAACGGCGATGAGGACCTCTTGAAGCGCTTCCAGGATTCTGGGTTCCGCTCCATCACTGAGATGACCAAGGACCACCAGTACACTATTCCCAAGCACGGTGGTCAAGACGTCTGTATGGCCTGGGCCCTCAAAGGCACCTGCACCTCCGGATGCAAGCGCGCTGCCACCCACAAGCGCTACTCAGCGGCTACGGTGCAGAAGCTCCACACTCTCCTCACGGACTGTGGAGTTGCTGATCCGCAGCCCTGAGTTTCCACGCCTGGACTCGCCACCCGTATTGGAGCTCCCGCTCCTATCTCGGTGGCGTCCATGCCTCGCAAGCAGTTTGGTCTCCGCCCATTTGATCGCGATGTTTCTCCTGTGAAACCTCCAAGGACTAACAGGAGCACTCCTGCTCGCAAAACACCTTCACACAACGAATCTACCACTTCAATTCACGCCCTCTCACACGCAGCCTCGATGTCGATGTCTTCATCATTAAAGCGGTCGGCTGGCCTACTGCCTGGGTCACCTAAGAAACGCCGACCGCCTTCATCCACTACATCAAACACCACTAAAACTACTAGCCCTGCCGTTGACACCAGATCAATCCGAAATGACCGACTAGGTACGTTAGTCCAAAACCTTTGCTCAGCCTACTTGAAGGCAGAGACGTGGGAATCCTTTGTCACCAACTTCAGAGGGTGCTCCTACCTTGCTCCGAACTTGGAGGATGTCGACCATCCTGCCATCCCCTTGCTCTGTTACTGGAGAGATCATGGGGTCCCCGTACAAAACGAACCACCTCCCTGGACGACGGAACAGAAGGAGGAATGCATCCGCCGCGACTGCCACAAATCTGCTACCAAGCATTCCGACTTCCTCCGTGAGGAATTTTCCGAGTTCATTGAGAACAAGTTCTAGGCTGTCCTTCCCTTCGACCTCGTCAAGGACGAACCCTTCCTCCTTCTGTCTGCCGCTGCAGTCAAGGTGGAAAGAGACCGCAAACCCCGACTCATCAGCGACCACACCTGGAACTGGGGTTGGCCCTCCGTCAACAAAACCGCATCACATCACGCGCCGCCCGAGGCCATGCAATTTGGAAATGCCCTGTCGTGCATCTTGTACGATGTGCGCCACGCGAACCCCAAGTTTGGACCTGTCCGACTCTGCAAACATGACATCAAGGACGGCTTTTACCGCATGTTCCTGAACCCTTCCGACTGCATCCGACTCGCACTGGTGCTGCCTCGCTATGAAGGTGAGCCCCAACTGGTGGCCGTCCCAATGTCGTGTACTATGGGATGGGTCGAGTCGCCGCCCACTTTCAGTGGCATATCAGAGACCACCTGCGACCGAGCAAACGAACGCT